TAAACCCTCTTGCTAATATTATAAAGTTTGCAAGCTTGTGTGTTTGTTTTTTTTTTATTTGATGGGGCGACGTTTGACCACTATCTCGCGCTTCGATGTCATTGTGTATGTTTGTTACACAATGACATCGAAGACTGAAGAGAAGAGAGAAGAGAAGAAAAAAAAAGAGAAGATAATAGAAGAGAAGGATGAACATTGGAACAGGGGTAGATTGTGGTATGGAATAAAACAATGGCTACTTTTATCCCTCGAGGAAGCGGGCGAAGCTGCTGATAAGAAAGCTAGTTAAACAATTGCATTGTCGACTTTTATAGATATTAAAGACATTCTTTATTATTTCAGGAAAACATATCTACACAAGTTAGGGCTTGAAGAAGTGAAAGATGGTGACCAGAAGTTAGTGGATGATCTACTTGAAGTGATGCAGCTGAAGATGGCAGACTTTACGGCTACCTTCAGACAACTTGCTGAGGTAAATTGGTTTTTTAAAGCTTATTTTTAATAGGAGATTTTTTTATAATACATATACAAAGGGTTCGGATAAAATCTTGGAGACTTTTCTGTTTTTCTAAAACTCTGTATTAGCACAATTACACACACAAATTATGGTGTTATGTATATGTTTTAGGTATAAGTGTGATGTTAACTTGTTTACAAAGGTACCCATAATACAACAGTAAATTCTAATATGGGCTTGAATAGGGCAAAATTATTTTTTAAAGGAAATTTTATATTTTAGAATTTAACGTGTAGGGTAATGTAATCTTATTTTTTTTTATTTTTTTTTTTTGAGTTGTAGTTGTATTTTATGTATAGTACTTTATAAAGTTATTAATTATTGTACACTTGACGACCCATATCAGACTCCTATTACTGCTCCATCCAAAGGTTGTCTGTAAGAAATCGCCTTGTGCGATAAGACCGCCCATTGTGCACTATTTTTGTTAATATTTATCCTATAATGTGATTGTGTGGTGTACAATAAAGCATATATTATTATTATTATCTTAAAAAAGATTTCCAATCACTCTTCTGAGAACAGGATATCCAGCCTGAATCTGAGAATAGTATTCAAAATGCTAATTCTAACGTCGACACATCAAATATATATAAAAAACATCATATATTTTCTAGGTGGAACCACAACAGTTATCGGATAAGACAGTACTAGAGACCAAATGGTCTCTTAGCAAATTGATTGGAGTACCGGCTTGGGACAAGTGGGTGGAATCTTACCAAGATAGGCTGAAGAAAGAGAATGGTAACAAATACTTATAGCTTTATTATGATAATGAGTTTTGGTCAAAAATTGCGCTAATGGCGTAAGGCTCTATTGCTTGACATAACTCTTATGCTAGTAATGTGGACTTGTCACAGGTTCACAGACTTAATTTATTAGCAAATATTTTAATGGACAATAAGACCTCAAGCTGCATTCGCTGCTCTATTGGTGATAAAAGTAGTCTATAATAGTAATATTTGTTATGTTTTTCGGCTTACTCACGTAATAATTTGACGAGGAACTCGGCTATTTTCAAGCCACAGCAAGCAGTAAGCTAGTCGCGGAATGCTGCTCATGGATATGAGCCTCTAGTATAGCTCGAAACTAGTCGAGTTCCTCGACGAATAATTACGTGGTAAGTAAGCCGAAAAATACAATAATTAATTCAGTGTCTTACCAAAGTTATAACACAAATAGTAATATTTGTGTTGTAAAATAAGAGTTACATCCTTACTAATATTATAAATAGGAAAGTGAGTATGTTTGTTTGTTCCGCTTTCACGCCGTAAGTACTAAACCGATTGCTTTGAATTTTTGCAGACGTAAAGTTAGAAGTCTGGATTAAATAATAGGGTACTTTTTATCGCCATCTATATAAAAGTATTGGTATAGATAGCGCTGTGTTTATTGGTATATGTCACATAGGCAACTTTTTATCCTTCAGTGACGCGAGCGAAGCCGCGCGTAAAAGCTAGTATTATTATAATAAGCACGCCTTAGATCTTGGTTCCATTATGAGGTGTATAATGGTCTTGTAGTATTGTCTCCATACATTAATAATATCATATTTTATACATTTCTTTTTTCTTATTACTAGTGAGTGAAGAAGAACGCAGGCGTCGAATGGTAGCAGTGAACCCTGTGTATGTACCACGCAACTGGATCCTAGAGGAAGCCATCAAAGATGCAGAGAACAATGATTTTGAAAAGGTAACCTTATTGTTTGCTTTTGTTTTACCCCAAAATGGAAAATCCTTACTTATAGAAGACGAAGGGGACTGTAAGTAATCCTTAATGGCTTCTCACTGAGGAACGCTGAGGAACGATGTGTCGACCTCCCCTTTGTCTAGAGTCTAACCGAATGGCAATGAATTTCCCAAATCCTCAACCCTTGCATCAATTTAGAAAGGATGGGATAGAGCAGTTTCTGCATTCCTTCTAATCCTAATACGTTTACGGTTGTGCGAAGATATTTTTAGCTACCTCAAAAGATCCAGATGTATCGCGTGATAATTTTCGTGGAACTCTACTCGAGCCATGATTGTTGTTGTGATATGATTGTAAGTTAGAAAACTTATATTCAAAATTCAAAACGAAGATTAAATAAATTGTAATTGAAATCTTTTTCATTCCAGGTACGCTTCCTAGTTAAACTGTTCAAGAATCCGTATGAAGTGAATGAAGAGGCTGAGAAACGCGGCTACTCTGCTCAACCGCCGAGCTGGTCTTATGGACTCAAACTCAGCTGTTCTAGTTAAATGACATGCAAATTATTGTTATTGAAACTAGCTGTTTAAGGTTTAGTAACGAAGGTAACGTTAACAATCACGTTTACGCCGTTCAGGCATGTTTTGTTTACGTAGTTTGATATTTTCTCCGCTAGAGGCGCCTCAGTCGAATCAAGGTAGTAAGGTCTTCCATGAAGTTTGGGGTGTTCTTACTTAATTCTCGTGCAATCAACACTGTATAAGTATGTAGTTTTTGCGATATCAAGTCAATAGTCATTTATTAGTATTTTTTGTTTTATAGAAAAAGAGATACCTACATTTTTTTTCAGTTGTAACTGAAATTGCTACCTGTATACGAACAAATCAATTCAAAGTAAGATTAGTTGTTATAGTTTTCAGTAGTATCTCATAATGTAATTTAGGTGATTGTACAAACAGGTGTAGGTACTTGTGATTGAAACTGACAACTCTTGTGATACAAAGAATATCTTGAAAAGATTAGGATAAGGTCGAGTTTATAATGTTTCGTTATGTAGAAATAGAAATTAGATTATTATGTAAGCTTAATTAGAAAGCTGGAAACCACTCTAACGCTAAGACATTTTTGTTTATATTTTTTTCTAATATAATGTTGTTATTTATATTTTTTGTTTCATTTACCTCTGCTTAATAATTATCACCACAATGAAAGGACATTTCAGTTTCATTAAAAATGTAAAACACGGCAATAATACCAAAAATACTTTAATTAAAATAAATATAACTTTCCATAATGTAGGCATTAAAAAGAAAAAAAAAGCTATTTACAATCAACATAATTTCCTTCTGGTTTTGTAATGGCCAGCATTAATTAATTAATAAAATATTTATTCATAATCTTCATCAGCACTGTCATCAGGTTCGGAGTAATCTTCATCTATTTCAATTTTCCGTTTTTTTGGTTGTGGAATATTCTCTTTTTCTTCTTCTTTGACTTGAGGAGCTTCTGTCTGTGCAGATCTGTGGTGGAAAACAAATGATATTGTCTTTGCCACATCCCAGCACTGTTTTAAAACTAGATCTGCCAAGTTCTTCTTGTCTGCACAGTGGTACCAGTTCGACAGATCAGAAGTACAGTCCGAATTTTCTGGTGGAAGTCTTACTTGTATGTTGTTTATGCATCTTTTGCATTTGAACTTGCTGTGGGTGTCTGATAAAGTGTTCTCTTCTAGTCTAAACAGATCCTTTAAGTCGTCAGAAGTGAAATGCCTTAGAGATTCTTCATTTTGATCAACTACAGTGTCACTTAATGCTTTCTTATGTGCTTGCCTCTGGAATATCTTTTCTTCAATGGTCCCTGTGGCTAGTAACCTGTATATGTAGCATGGTTTCTTCTGCCCGTCTCTCCACACTCTGGCCATGGCCTGTTCATCATTAGCAGGGTTCCAGTCAGGGTCAAACATGATTAGTCTGTTAGCACCAATAAGGTTGAGACCACATCCACCAGCTTTGGAACTCAGCATAAATATCCACTCCTTATTTTCTTTATTGTTGAAGCTCTCGACAACTTTTGCTCTCTTCTTTATTGTCATTGATCCATCAAGCCTCACATACATGTAACCTCTCTTTCTACATAATTTTTCAAATAAATCTAATGTTTGTGTGTAATTAGAAACAAGGACGATTTTATCATCCGTATTCATCTTTAGGTTAGCAAGAATACAGTCTAAAATCATTAGTTTTCCTGATAATTCTGGCCTGACATCTTTAGAATCATAATAACTTGGTAATAGGCTCATAGCTTTTTCAAAGCCTTCAGCTCCCTCTACAATTTTATCATATACTAAATCTGGGTGATTGCACAATTTTTTAAGAGTAGTTATACTAGATAGTGCACTGAGAGTATTCTTTTCAGCATGGCCACTGAACTTGTTGCGGATAGCATCGGAATTGATGAAGTTTTTATACAACTGTGTCTGAAGTGGAGTCATTTTACAACATATGACTTGTTCAAACTTAACAGGTAAGTATTTTGTGAGTAAACTGCTTGTCCTGCGGATCATACACTTGTTCACTATAGATGTTAATGTTGCAAGACACTCTTGTGCCCTCTCTCTTTCCGATTCACTTGCTAAGGCATCTTGGCCCTTCAATATTGGATTTTCATATCTCTTCTTGAACTCATGTGCTGTGCCTAAAATACCTTCATTAACAAAATGCACTAAACTGAAGTATTCTGTCAAATCATTCTGTATTGGAGTGCCTGATATCAAAATTCTTTTCTTCGCTTTCAAACCCATCAAAGCCTGATATGTTTGGTTCTCAGAGTTTTTCAGTCTGTGCCCTTCATCACAAAGTACTAAACCAACTTCAGATGAATGGAGAATACTAGAGTAAATTCTAAATGTTTCATATGAAATGATGAGAACTGGGGTAGCTACTCTTGTTGCAGAGTATGTGTTCATATATTGTTGAAGTTTGAATGTAATTTCAGATTTAGAACCTCCATCCATGGCTAGAGCATTGATTCTCTGTCCCAACCACTTCTGGATTTCATTGTACCAGTTCTTGACCAAACTACTTGGACAAACAATGATTGCCTTACAGATTGTGGGTTTGCAATCAGGTCCTTGCCTCAGTAATGTCCACAATAAAGTGATACACTGCAAGGTTTTACCCAAACCCATCTCATCAGCCATAATACATCCATAAGCGTTCTCTATCTGGTGTCCAGTAACACAATCGTACATAAACTTCACACCTTCTCTTTGGTGAGGTCGTAAGACATTCCCTAGCACTGGGTCTACCACCACAGCTACTCTTATGTCGTTAGGGTTCATCTTCATCTTCTCATGTTCTGGTATGTGTGGTGGCCGGTACAATACCAATGCATTAAGCTCGTCAGGGTCGTGTAAGGCTCGCCTAACCTGAGTCCTTTTTAGACCCAAACTTTTCCCACAAAACGATGACACATAGTTAGGTATGGGAACTTGAAAAGGCTTACTGAGTATCGCCTTGATTATATTCTCGTGGTCAGAAGCCGCCGCCGCTTGAGACACTGATTTCTGTGTTAATGGTATCTTCGTACATTCCCGCCGTTTATTCCGTTTCGATTCTAGCAGCGGGCTTTTGAAAACGGCATTGCTGGAGCCGATCTGGCTAGGGGCTTGGCTGCGACGCATTTCAGTTTTATTTTTACACCACTAATACACTGAAGTTAAACAAAATACATGATTGTCCTGTTTAAACTTGTTGCTTTTGTAATTGTTTTGAAAATGCGGAAGTTTTTTTACATTTTTTGACACTGGCGTTGACATTTCAAATCGATGTTGTCAGATCTTCCAATAAGTGTTGCAATAATTGAAAAACTATTATTTTTGTAAAAAAGTATTGTTTACTATTTAACTATTCCACCGTAGAGGTTACTTATTATACCATAATACATGCACTATGTTTGCACAAATGGCAGAACATCATCATTATGATGATAAAAATTATTATCGTAATCGTAAATCTCGTTCACAGCTGAACATAGGCCTCTCCAATGGCGCACCACTGAGCTCGATTAACAGCCCTACGCATCCAATCATTACCAGCTACCTTGAATATATCGAAAATAATTATTTTGATAAACAGTTTTTGCGAGTGGTAACTCGGCTAAAACCAATTTTAAATTTGTAGTCACTCTAAAAACAGGAATCATTAACCGCTTGAGACAGTTCACTGCAGAGCAGATCAAAAACTGCGGCCCATCTCTAGTTAGGAGCTTAGCGACGGGGCTAGACAAGCAAAACAACGGACTAGGTTACTAGGAAATATAATCAAAAACAAATAAACCAAGACAAAGGTTACAAAAATACTTATATTCAAAAGAAAACATGTAACAAAGACTTTCTCTTACTTTTTAAGTTACAATCGGTATCGATGTGGTACATTAGTACGTTACTAGCATGATTCATCACAGACAAATTTTTAACTTAATTATAGCATACTGGATTTGATTTGTCAGCCCAAAACAATTTGGGACATGTGCATTACTTTTTAAATTAATAAAGAAAGTTGTTACAATCTTAGACACACAAAGCAACGCAATCCATGATGCGAACACTTAATTTTAATAACACAACATTAAATTAAATGTAAATTAAGTTGAAATTAAAATTTCAATTAAATTAACTCTTATATTAAATAAGTAGTGTAAATTCGAACCTATTAAGTGAATGTATACATACAGGTACAGAGAGGCACAAATCCGTACATAAATATTTGTGCGCCGAAAAAAATGTATAATATAATTTGGCAATAATTTTTAATGTCATAAGGCATAATAGTATAATCACAATTATTTTTCAAATGTTTATATTAATAGTAAGTAGAAGTTAAATACGGAAGTAATACATGTTTTTGGACAGATCCTTTGCAAAGGCCTAATCACGTGACTTGGCACCTTGGTTATTTAGCCAATCGAAATTTTTAAAACGCCTTGATCATACAGGTGTATAGTGACGTCATTAGGCCCCGAGACATTTAACATTTTGTAGCATCATTAGCTGATTCTACACCAGAAAATTTGAGGTCGCCGATCGATTTGCGATCTAAAAACCTAGGATCGGTGATATTACAGTTCGCAATCCATGATCTTAGATCGTTTGTTGATCCAGCTGCTATTCTTTTGACCTCTTAAAGACAGGGATTGGATCACTTAAGTAGTAGTTTTAGCTGGCAGCTACCTGATGGTAAGGGTATATGGTACCTAAGTACACTTGCAATACCAGAGGCACTACAAATACGGTATTCTATCTTTTTACCCCACTGAAGGAAGGGTATTGTTTTTTACAGCTTGCATTGGATGAGACACATAGTGTCTTCTGCTACGGAATCAGAGTGCTCAAAATTGTCTGGTGCAGATTCAGCTATTGTCATTATGGCATTGTTATTTTACATAAGTATTGTATTATATTACGTATTAATTACTTCTTGTTGCTACGTACAACCTTAATGTTAGTGGCTTCATAGACGCAGTCAGTTCGTGACGGATACACATTCTTGAGGTTTCCTTCTGGATCTACTACTTTTACCTGGTAAAAGAAAAAACATGTTATAAATAAATTTCATTGTAAGAAGACGGGAGGTGAGGGAGTGTCAGACTCTTACTGGCTAAAAACCACCCCGTGCCTTCTCCCGCACGACGTCCCCGGTTACCCGTTAGGTTCTCCGCGACATTATTTTACGCAAAGTTCGAATGATCATCAATATACATATAGTTAGTATGATTCACGGATGGAAATAAAAATATGTTAGTTGAAAAGCAATTAGCGCAACATTTAAGCAATGCCCACTTTTCACTATTTATGTTGAGTCCCATGTAATAGGGGGTGAGCCTATTGTCATATACCGGGTACAATTCCAGACTCCGTGCTACCACTGCGAATTTTTAAAAACTCAGTAACACTTTGCCCGACCCGGGAATCGAACCCGAAACCCCTTGAGCGGCAGTCGCACTTGCGACCACTCGGCCAACGAGGCTGTCTACTATTTTATATACATTTCAATAATTCGCAAATCAAAAGACTTTTTATGTTTGTAAACTGAAAAATCTGGGGAAAAATGAAGTATTATTTCATGTGAAGATCTCTATTTACCTCTAACGGGAATAGAACGCGCGTTGTTAACAATATACTTACTTGCTGCACAATCAGGGTGTGGTAAATAGAGCCTGGTTCCAGTTCAGGTCCGATGCCCAATAACAGGCACTCCTGCAGCAACTTGTTCATCACAGTCTTGCAGGCGCCGAGCGATGTGTGTGACGTCACTTCAACCAACATCGACTTGCTGTTTTGTGACATCTGGGTGGATTTATAGATTGTTAGAGATAGAAAAACATTAAATGTAAGGATAGGAACTTGTGTAATTAAAACTTTTGGAAATTGTCCCTGAGATAGATGGCTCATGGTATCAGTGTACCGAAGTTAACGAATTAGCAGAAAAAGAAAAGTTTCCTTATTATTATATATTTCATACTCTTTTTATGTCATATAAAACTGAAGTGTTTGTTGGTTTGAATGAGATTATCTTCGAAGCTACTGGTCCGATTTCAATTATTATTTATGTGTTGCTTAGTGCATTTATCGAGGAAGGTTAGACGTCATCCATAAATTACGTCACACAAATTTTATAATTTTTTGCCCCTCTCCCCCCGTCCTTGTCACAGCTAGTCACATTTGTGAGAGCCCCACCTAGTGTGACGTCAAATTTAAAAAAAAACTGCAGTTCCGCAATCGGTTTTATTTCTATTTAAAATTACTTAAAAAAAATATTAATACAATTAGGTACCTACATGTCATTTCGTGTTTTATAAGTTTTTGAAATGTGACACCCAAAAGTTTAGGATCCCTCCCTCCCCTTCGTCACACAATGTCACACTTCGTCGACCCCCTCCCTACCCCTTAACGTGTGACGTAATTTATGGACGTCCCCTTATAGGCTATAAAACATCACGCTGTGGCCAATAAGAGTCGAGCAGCGGGTGAAAACCGCGCGGAAATACTTACCTAGTAAAATATAACATTTAACTTCTACATAATATACATATTTTTATTTACTTTTTATTAGATACTGTCTGTATGTACTGTAAGGTATGTACCTTAGTATCCTCAGAGTTGGTGATGGGTGGGAAACTGATGACCTTTCCACTGGCGTCTTCCAGACATGGATATAGAGGCTTGCCTTCCAATAAGTACAGATATCTGTAAAGTAATTGTGAATTAGATTAATAAGAACTATATTGTGTATGTGAACTTGTATGTTTGTAAATGCACCCACAACACAGGAGATGATAATAGTGCGGGGCAATGTTTAAAAAAAAAATTAAACTAATAAGACTTATAACTCAAAGTGAGTAATTTAATTAGTAAATTACAATTTTTAAAATCAACAATAATTAAATTAACATACTTGTGTATTCCAGAGTAAACATTCCTCTTCTTTTCCTTCCTGAGAGCCTCTGCTTCAGCTGTCAGCTGCTGGAACAGCTGCTCTCCAGAGTAGGGCTTCACCCTTGATAGTGGTGTCAGTTTCAGAGCTGATGGAGCCTTCGCTGTGTATACTAGGTCACCTGGTAACATTATAGGATGGATTTAAGAGGTATGCAAATCTATGGTGTGTTTATATTAAAACTTTCGTGAGAAATACTAAATTAATTATTATTATAATTATATAATTGACTCAAGTTCCTCATCAAACAGTTACATGACTAGGCTGAAAACATAATAATTAATCTATGGTTGTGGTTGACCAATGATGAATTAAGTTATTACATACACATAGACATTCTATTGCATTATATCCACAAAGGATGTCTGCCAAAAACACTATCATGGATAAGACCACCTTTGTGCTCATTATTTACTTATTTATATTTGTTATTTTTCTGTATGTACTATATGATTAATAGCGTACAATAAAGATTACTCTAAACTTCTAAGTTAGTGGTAATGTAACTGACACTTTGTAAGAAGTTATAATAAATTTGTTGGTTTTCAGCCATTAAGGTTAATGGAAACTTGATCAGAAGTGGTGTGATATATTTATAAGGTCTATAATACCTTAAACAGCAAAATGAGTGCTGGTTAATGATGGCCTTTTTTGTTTTATCTTTAGATGCAACATACATGTTTATGGTTTTTATTTTTTATGATACAATGTTTTTAGAAATCCCAATATTTGTTACATAAGTAAACAAAATGATAGGTTCATTAATACTATGTTAGGTGCCATCTATTATAATTAATTTATTAGAAAATAATAAACTTGTTTTGAAGCACTGATGGCAGTTGTATAAGGAAAAATACTGACATTTAGCCAAATCATAATCTAGTTAGGAATCAGTGCCAAATCATTTGGGAAAATGCCAAACACAATAACAACATTATTTTAACATTTCTTTGACTTCCCTAGCCTACACAAACACACAGGAAAAATATTAATCCACTATCTAACGTCACTGATAGAAAATGCTTACAGCATCAAGTCCATCTAAATACATTTTGAGAGCATAAAGAATATAATACAACATAATGAATAAAATACCTGGAGCAATCTTTTCCAGATCATGTGTGGCGATGGTGGCAATGTTCCTCTTATCACAGATGGTATCATGAAGCTTTGTCTGCATCTGAATAAACTTTTTAAACGATGTCTCGTCAAAGCTCAAGTCGTTCACGATGCAACAGAGAATAAAAGGTCGGACACCAGCAACTTGGGACTCAACGATTTTAACTCGTAAGATATCATCCTCTACATGGAGAATCTTCATCGAATGGCAAAGATCACATTCCTGATCTTCTGCTGTTGGTTCTTCTCTTTTTCCTTTCTTTCCCTTGCTTTTGCCTGTTGGCTGGGCCTGGTCAGTCTTGGGGCAATGGTCGCGGATGTAGTCCATAACTTGTTTGGTCCGGCACTGGTCGACTAGTTTCATGAACCTTTTGTCAGTGAATTTGTTGCCCTTAAGGTTTATTTCTGAAATTTTAATTAATTTTATTTTAATTTTTAGAGCTATGTTGAGACTTGGGAGTGACTTATTAACTGGACAACTGATTGCACAATGAATAAAATTTTGATTATAATTTTTAACAAAATAATGGAGTGAATGTACAGAAAAACCCGTTGTGCAATATTTCATAATTAATTGTAGATTTCATCAGATTGAGACAATGCGAGGAAGTTTAGTTTAAATGTGTGATCCAATTTATTTATTTTCACCTTTTTTATAGCTGACCCAGTAAACTACTAATGTGTAAAAATACTTTTTTGTTGTTTACTACTTGTTTAATCTCCGTAAGGGGATAATAACAAAAAATTGGTGATGGACATGATGGGACCCGGAATTTCTTATGTTTTGTTATTTATTAAACTTGCATTAATATTTCAACATCAAATTTATTGCATTCAGTATAATTACTATATTATAATTTTAATTTTTATGTAGGGAAATTATATTATGGATTAATAATGGTGTAATGTTATGAAACAATGGATTGTTGCAGCTTGGAAGTTTTTATCAGGCTTATAAATGAAACATGAGGTATAGCAATCAAAGCACTAACCTTTCAATTTCCCCATGTTTGCAATTTCTCCAGGAACTGATTTCAGGCGATTATCACTGATGTCGAAGTTTTTCAACGAGGGCAAGCTACGAATTATGCAGCTGGGTAGTACTTCAATGGAATTACTTTTAATTTTTAGGTCTGTCAGATGAGGCATAACAGCGTTCTCCAAGTCCAAGAAACTAGTGAGTTTATTATTTGACATGTCAATTGTTAGCAAATTCGGAAAATCCGTAAATTTCGGCATCTCCTCAATCTCATTGGAACTAAGATTGATGTTAGTTAATTCTTTCATCTCATTTATAGATCCAGGTATATTTTTCAGCAAGTTTCTCGATAGATCAAGTACTTTTAATTTCTTTAGTGAGGTTATGTTTTCATTGAAGTCTGTTATCTTGTTGCCGTATAACAACAAGGATTGCAGGTTCACCAACTGACTTATTTCGTCTGGAATAGCTGTTAGACACGTATCGCTAATATTTAAAAGATTAATATTAGTTAATTGAAATATTCCTTTGTCTAAACCACCTTCTGTTATACGTTTCGAAATAGCCGCACCCGCCAATTTGATTTCATGACGATTTTCCGACTTTGCAGTCGTTACTTCAGGCCACGCACTCATTTTGAAACGAAATTATAATCTGATGTAAAGTCTATGCAGAATAGTGAGAATCTAATAAGAATTTAATTAGAAAAACGCGCGCCACGACGGTTGCAAGCAAAATCAAACAGAAACTAAAACACATGAAAAAAGAATGACGGCTGACATATATTGTCACTTGTGGATGACATTTAATGAATGAATGAAAGTATGATCTTAACCCTCAAATAAACTGCGGGTACACATATGTGAGTGAACATAACTATGTAACAAATTATTAAATGTTCTTTCACCGATTTTCAACAGAAATAATGTAGTAATGCGAGGAATCCTTTAATAATATACAAATAAAACTGTACTAACTAAAGCTGTAAAAGTATTTATTATCTGTAGCATAACCTTTTCTCAACTAGCAACTTTGAATTGTACCGGTTACCACGGGTTTTTCAGAATTAAGGAATAAAATTAGGATTTTTTTCCTCAACCCAGTTGCCCGACAATTTTAAGGTTATATAGTTTACAAATATGTCACATTCAGACTCGGAGCAACAATTACTGAACCAGAGAAACAATCGTTTAATGCGGGAATGGAACTTGTAATATGTAGCACATTAAGCAATCATTCAGCCTCTGCGGCTACCTAGCGCAACTAAGTAATTACATACTTACAATTAATTATATTAGCATGATTTCACTCATGAAATGAGCTTTTCTCAATACGTTACCATTTCTTTTGAGGGGAAAATCATCCAATGTCTTCTCCTGCCCTAGAGGAGGCGAGAGAGAGTGTCAGCCTGCTTCGAGCCGGAGTCCCGGGTAACCCGTTAGGCCGTCCGCAACTCTGATAGATAAGCTTACCCTAAAATGACGGCTTCAAAGCCACGAACACAGACGTAAGGTTTGAAGCTTTTTGGTTTTCTATCGGATAACCGGATGCATTTCGGTGAGTGTGCGGGGGAATTGTGCAATTAAATTCCCCCATCATCGTTCCACAAGATAATCGGCGAAGCGTCACCGATTCATGGTAGATGTCCCACCCACGCGCACGAAGCGCTTCGCATCAAGCTTCCTTGTGTGTACTGTATTGCTAAGGAGTGGAATTCTTTGCCGGAGTCTGTGTTTCCTGACGGGTATATAACGTGGGTTTCTTCAAGGCCCGAGAGAATAGGTTGCTTATGAGAAGACGTGCTGCATCGTAGACTACATCATCGCTTACCACCAGGCGAGATGGTGCTCAAACGTCGGCCCATCAAATATTAAAAAAAGAAAAATGAGATTGCAATTTGCAAAATAGATTGACGTCATTTGAAAAGTACCTAACAAATAAGTTTAATTTTGATAATTTTAATTAAATTAGCGACATAAATCATTTCCATGCAAGATTACAACCGCTATCAGTAGATACAGTTCCTAATTATTGATTAATTGACTTCAATTACTTAGATTGAGTATAGTTATGTGGGGTGCGGTTGTGATTTTAGCTGTTGTTGCTGCGGTAATTATTTTCCTTATATAATTTTTTACTTTCTGCAATTCCACCCTCCAAATGCCCACAATCTCTTTTTAGGATTTCCTTAATCTTCAAATCCCTTACTTACAAATGGCCGGAAATGCACTTGGAACTTCTCCGGTTTTGCGGGTTGTCCACTGCTTATCATCAGGTAATCCGTAATAATAATAGTAATTTTCAGAGAGGTGTAATTGTTGCTCATTCTCAACTCCTGCTGGTCATTTTTGATTCGTTAAAGTGACCAATGATACTGAAGGAAGGAAAAAAAGTAGAGGCGCCTTCTCGTTCTTTTGGTCTTCCTGAATGTTGTCGTGAGATCAGAGATCCAGTGGTTCTGAGAGTGATAGTTGTAGAAGATATTTTATCCTAATACTTCAGTATTCTAATTTCAATATTTGAATAATTTTTTTTGGTTATGATTTTGAAACACGATAATTTCCACATGATCTATTTGGTCAAATAACCGGTTTTTACGCGATCTAAGACTAAATCAAACATTTGTAATTTAATTCTTATGGGTTTCAGGCATCCGCCGAGAGTGTGCTACAGGCATCTCCTGAGGTGGCACCACTTGGTAACTTAATTTAGCATTATTTAATTACTATCTATCAGCCATTGTTTTACTCGTCAAATGAAAATGCTCATAATAATCAATTTTATTTCGGTTATTATCAATTTGATATGCTCAATTGAGTAAGGTCAACTAAACGTGTAAAGGCTAAACATTAATTTTAATAGCCGACTAATCAGCAGACCTTAAACGACATCAGCGCCTCTAACGAAGCCAAAATGAACTTTCTTCTTAGATTCCCGTATAGTATCAGGATGGGACGCCCAAGAGGGTCAGTTCCCGTACATGCTATGGTTGCGTACCGTAAGGTGGACTGGTGACATCACGGCTTGCGGAGGCTCCATCATCCATCGAAGCTGGGGTGTCACTTCTGCTAGATGTACTGCTCAGTGAGTATCAAGTTTTAATGTAATTGTAAGATAATTGTATGAAAGAAAAGAAAGGATATCTGTTTATAGCGCTATGAAATTAATTGTTAGAGGTTTTACATGCACTCCCGCGAGGTTTTGCCCGCTGTTCGTCTCCTATCATGACGTTTTATAGCTTTCATCGATAATTCTTATTCTATCTCGGTACTCGATATATCTGTTCCACATACCTAACATACCTAAAAAATCCCATCTAAAAAATTACGAGAAATGATCAACCGAAGAAAAAACAGATCTCCCATGTGGGAAGCCTACATTAATATTCCATGTATTTTAACTCAGACGTATCGAAATTACGATCCACGCGGGAAGCGTGTACCGCAGCCGACCACGCGTGGTCGTCCAGGCTAGAGATACGTTCAGGCCACCAGGTTATGAAGATGCTCTGCAGCCCATCACACAGCCTAACGACATCAGTCTCATGAGGTTCAGCGCCGACCTTACTTTTAACGGTAGGTCATTTCATTTCAGTTGATTTATTTAATTAAATGTAATTTAAATTTATTTATTTGCTCAGACAGACATGGAAGCAAGTAGTGTTCACATAAATGCTAACGCGACTGAGGTAACCGTGGACCCCAAACTACTTGGTGCCCAATATTAAAAGTTTACGCTAGGAAGTTCTCGGATCATGGTTGTGACACTGTACATAAAATCACATCGCCGGATGCCGGATGGCATTCTCAATCACAGGATCCTGTAGAGAAATGTTAAGGTTCGCACAGCTCCGGCACGTCTACAACCAAGCAATTTGTCATTTGAATATGACCTTTATATTGTATGTCGTATGACATATTTCATAACGTCAATATAAGAAAGAAAGAAACCAATACATGACGGTTCAGAACCTTTTTGTATTGTTTCCAAAGCTAAGAACGCCGTGCTGAAGCCGTAATGGAAGCGTGCTTCTTAAGTCTGTGATGACATTACAGTATACCTACATGAGTTAGTGGGAGGAAAATATTCGACCGTTGTCTCATCTCAAGGTTAAAGTAAAACGTTGGTCCCATGATAGGGTTCCCAAGAAATATCAGAAGTATGTACATTCGAATACAGAGCAAAGTATCGATACTTTGATATACGAAGTTCTGGAAGTGTTCACAACGAACTGTAAAAAGTAGATTAAATAATTGCTTTGAAACTGCATAAATAAATTTTATGCTACATGGGCAAACTTATTATACGTACTTTGTAATTTTGCTAAATTTCATTGTGAGATAAAAAATCGTAGCGCGCGCTTAGGCTTCGGTGTCAAAGTTTTAGATTGAGGCCAAATTATTATAATTCGAATCACGAACTAATTGTCGTTTCTTAATAACCTTCAGAGCACATCCAACCAATCAGGCTGCAGCGTTCAGAAGACATGGATCGCGATTACACCGGGGTGCGGATGACCACCAGCGGTTGGGGGACCCAGTGGACGTGCATTGAACTTGGATGTAAGTTGTTGCAAAATTATGTACACTTCGTTCTTTTCATTTAGTTGGTGTATTTCGACTGTTACATTTTCCAAAAAATTTTTTTTTATTATAACTTCACGCCTTTTATCCTCGAAAGGGTAGGCAGAGGTGCACATTACGGCACTTAATGCCACTGTAATGTAACACCCACTTTTCACTATTTATGTTCCAAAATGTTTTTCATAAATCATTGTTTAATTGTTGTTTCCTTTATTCTTCATGAATTTATAGTATAGCGTTCTTATACTAAAACTAACTCCCAAAACTGCCTCGTTGGCAGAGTAGTCGCAAGTGCGACTGCCGCGGGCAAGAGGTCTCGGGTTCGATTCCCGGGTCGGGCAAAGTATTATTGGGTTTTTAAAAAAATCTCAGTAGCAGTAGCACGGAGCCTGGAATTGTGCCCGATATATGGCAATAGGCTCACCCCCCCCTATTACATGGGACTCATAACATAAATAGTAAAAAGTGGGTGTAACATTGTACAGTGGCATAATGTGCACCTCTGCCTACCCCTTCGGGGATAAAAGGCGTGATGTTATGTTATGTTATGTTAACTCCCAAAAATGTATGTAAAATTTCAACTTTTGACGGTTACAAAATGACCCATTTTTATTTATACGTCCTTCAATTTTTTTTAAGGTTATACTCCTGACAGACTGCAGTGGGTGCACCTGAATGGAATATCCAACTTCATGTGCCTGTTGATGCATAACTCTAACTACCTGGTCAGGCCTACCACCATCTGTGCTGGACCCTTCAACGTCACCAGCCAGTCTATATGCTCTGTAAGAAATAAATCATATAATTCCATTTTATAGAAAATAAGTAATGTAAGATATGGGTATCATGGGTTTAAGGAGACGTTAATTCCTTAAAGTACGTAGGAGAGCCATGCTTCGGCACAAATGGGCCAGCTCGACCGGAGTGATACCTCGGCCTCACAGACCGACGTGAAACAACCGGAGTGTTGTGTATTGTCATGAGAGCGAGGTTGCCGGAGGATCAGTCCACGCGGCAACGCACTTGTCACTGGTGGGCGGCACTGATTGCTTACCATCAGGTGATCCGCCTGCTCGTTTGACGGCGTATCCACTAAAATTAACTAGACGTAGACAAAAGCGGACAAAACCCTGAACCTTTGAAGTTGCAATCTCCAAAGTCTGACTAGGAAGTCTAGCCGTGGGACAGTCCACGGTGGCCTCAGGCTCAAGGTGAAATTGAAATTGAGTAAGCTATGGATCTTCTAAAGACAGTTGTTGTTGTTCCAGGGTGACAGTGGAGTTCCTCTGACTGTGGTGGAAGATGATGGGGTGGCAACACAAGTGGGAGTCGGTTCCTTCGTCTCTGGCTTCGGGTGCCATGTTGGTATGCCTGGTGGTGAGTATAATATTATTATTTTTTATCAAGGTTACAGTATCAACACCTTTTCTATATTAGGTTAGGGACATATAATTCCATTATTTATTTAAACTGTCAAACACCAAGCGGTCACCGGTGACCGCAACCTATTGTTCTATAATTGTGTCTACAAAACCGGTACTCGACGAGTTAAATAAGTTATTTTGGATTGTCCAATTTTGTTTGTTTGCGTAAATGGTTTATAGATGTTTTATGATTAATGTTTAGCTTCAGGCTCGTTCCTAGTATTCGTAGCATTAGGTTATCGGGGCTCCGGCTCGAAATGCAGGAGAAGGAACGGGGTGGTTTTAGTCAGTAAGAGTCTGACACTCCCTCCCGCCTCACCGAGGCGGGAGCAGTCATTCGATTCGATTCGATTAAAAAACCCATTACGCTACGACTATGGATACTAGCAACGATTATTCTGTGCATTAAGATTTACCTGCTGCAAGGTGCATCTTTAGCATTAAAAATTATGGCAAATTATCTTTTCTTAATCCATTATCAGCTGTCTTTTGTCTTAAATATTAGTCGACACAATATGATACTTTCCTCTACCATCCATGAACACTAGTGAACAGTTTTAGTCATACTTGCATACCTTCCATGTATGAATTAGAAAATTTATCAAGTTATATTTGACTCTTTACATTATTAACTCGTGTTTGTGTCCAGGTTTCACTAGGCCCGGCCACTACCAGGATTGGATCCGACAAGTGACTGGCATCAACTTTGACCAGCGCATCGTACCAACTGAGGACGCTGTAGATCCTTCAGAAAATTTAAAGCAAAACGATTTTAAGCCGCAAGGAGAAGAATATAGAGCTTAGTTTTCTTCTAAAAGATAAATAAATAAGGTTAAAGTTCTACATTTTTGGGAAAAAATGCTTCTGATATTCGTTCGCTTCGTTCAAATTCGTTTTGTCCTGGTTGTTTTGTAAATAGTAGTTTTCTGATTTGTTTATAATGTAGTCACTTATTATTGTAGTTCAGAAAAAAGAAGTTAAAAAACTTCACGATACTAATTTTTATTATATTTATCTCTTGATAACAAGGTTTGTTTAATTTCTATGAGCATTTTAACGTAAACGCACCTAATAACGACCCATTAAAATCAGCGCTCATTACCGCCCTATTCAGAAAACTATCATTTTTACGTCATGTATTGAAGTTACACAATTGATTGCTTTAAAAAAATGTAGATAAATTTGTATTGCAACTGTTCATCTCTTGTTTGAGTGCGTAACTCGACGATTTAAATAATAATTGCTTAGTTAGTCCGTGGACGCCGACTTTAGTGCATTTTCCATAGTGCGGCACTTCCGATGGCGTAAGGACTCTTGTTTCGTTTTTAGCAGAAGATTATATCATCTAGCATATTATAATGAAACTTCTAGTTATTTTAATGCATTTTTGATACTTTTAGGAACACAAGTAATGATTCAGTTTAATAAGATATTATTTTATTTTGCTTTAAATTCAATTTTAAAAATAGGCGATAATAGGAACAAAAATCACAATTTTATTCCTATTAGCGACCTATGTCGCTGATAAGTACTTGTCGTATCTTTTGTGTGCCATGATTTTTGTTAAAATGCATAAATTAATAGGTAGGAGGGAATTCATAAGAATTCAGTTCCTTAGTATGTTAACTTATATTTGAGCTATTAACGCCATATATTTAAGAGCTTTAGTAGCGCTATATACTATCTTAGTTCTTATGTAAATATTTTGATGAATAAAGGAGGCATAATTTTTAAATAGTGTATTTTTGTAGTTGAAATATCATTATTATTAAATATTTTTAGCAACCGCACCACTGAAAATCATATACATGAACATAAATCACATGTATTTACACAATTCATACACATTCCCATGGGTCGGTAATAGGTTATACGATTTCCTTTAAGAAAACCTATTACCGATCTACTTGTACATTTACGACGGACCCCATACTACATGTTTTTTTATTTGGTATTTAGGCACGCAGGCATCGGTTAACGAAGACTTGAAGTTGGCGTGAGATGTCTTTGGTCACCTTCCACGTTTCGCACCCATAGAGCAGAACGGATTTTACACTTAACCGAAGACTTTCAGTTTTATCCTTCGGGTCAGTTTCCATGACTGCCACACAGGTCTCGGGTAGCTCGGGTTTTGGCGATCCTTGAAGTGATGTCCTCTACAGTACCTCCAGTCTCTGACACGACGCTCCCGAAATAGAAAAAATTGTGGACACGTTCCACTGCCTCTGTGCCAATCAGCAACGGTGTAGGATTCTTCACACCCGTTCTAATTTCTTTGGTCTTTCGGGTGTAAATTCTTAGGCCAGCTTTTGCCGCCTCCTGCCGCAGGTCATCCAGTTTTGTTGGCATGTCGGCGTGGGTATGACTCAGCAGACATAGGTCATCGGCGTAATCCAAATCTTCCAAGAAGTTGGATAATTCCCACTCCATCCCGCCGTCGAGTCTCCGTGTTGATATCACCAAGTGTCGCCGTAGCCGACATGCGAAAGACCTCCTCACAGTGTGTTGCAATGAGCTGATCGTATTTAGACTTCAGTAGTTTTTTCTTCCTAAGCTTGATGTTACCAGCGTTTGCAGCCTGTTGAGCGTGATCAGCAATACCGTCAGTCCAGTGTCTCCTATCTTTGCGGGTACTACGATAGAATTCTTTCCGTTTCTGACGGTCCTGTGCGTTCAGGTCGGCTCTTATAGCGTCATCCTGGGCGTCGAGCAATCTCAATTGAAGCCTTTTTCTGTCCTCAATCAGACTCCATGTATGCTGCGACATCCACTTTTCGTCATTGGTTATATATTATAGTTCAATGCTGGACTTTGGTAATTTGTTATACATGATTCCTATAAATATGATATCTTTTATTGATTTAACGCTGTTAAGAATATACTATTATAAGAATACATTATAATTGTTAAGTGTTGGATCATTTATATAAACAGTGCAATATACACGAGCATTTAAATTTAATTTTAACGGTCTCATTTATTTACTGGTCGGTATTAGGTGTAACAAAAACGGTATTAGGCACATACCGATGTTTTGAGTCGGTAATGGGGACATGACCCTTTTTCCTTTTATTTAATTTTTATATTATTAAGTAATTCTTTGATTGTCTATTGTTCTACATAACTAAAAAATTCGATAATTTCAGCACTGGAAAAAATATTTTTATTGTAGCCACTTATTAAGAATGTGCTTATTTTTTTGATATCAATCTGAACTGTGCTTAAACTGGCGGTAATGGGTGCGTTTACGTTAAGTATCATAATACTATAAACAAATAAATCCTATCTACATAAGTTTGTTGTTGTTTTTTTAGTTAAATATTTCGATACCATCACTGTGGATTCAATAGAAAAAGTAAGTAGGTACAATATAAAATACCTACAATAACTTATAATATGTGCTTAGTATAATTGGGTAAGTACTTGCCAACTAGTCAAATTCAATACTTTTTTCGAACTGTCAAAAACTGTTGTACGAGACTGTGTATTGTGACGTCACGTTGTTTTTAGCGTCAATACGTCAAACAGCATTCTTTCCTCTTTTTAAAAAAATTGCTGGAAAACTATTAAAATGAAGTTGATCATAAAATTAATTTATGAAAGTGTGATTATTTTTTAATATTTCATCGTATTGAACAGTTGAAATAACTTATTTTTGTTTAAGGAAAGTAACCAATTGTATAAGTTTACAACGATAAGATTAGGTTTGATCATTATTCAAACATCGAATAAAGCTTATAAATAGCTTCACTAGAGGACTGATAACAGAATTTTTAACATAATAACTAACGCCTTTATCCCCGAAGGGATAGGCAGAGGTGTACATTACGGCACTTAATGCCACTGTACAATGTAACACCCACTTTTCACTATTTTAAATATGTTATGAGTCCCATCTGTCCCATGTAATAGGGGCGAGCGTATTGCCATGTATCGGGCACATTTCCAAACTCCGTGCTACTACTGTGATTTTTTTGTAAAAAACCCAGTAATACTTTGCCCGACATGGGAATCAAACCCTCGCTTGGCAGTCACACTTGCGACCACTCGACCAACGAGGTCAACTTTTTAATATATCAATATATATTTTGTTATGACGTTCAAAAGTGACTTTTTGGTCTTATTGGAAATAAATGATTTTGACTTTGGCTTTGACTTTAAATATAGAGCAGCGTTCTGTTCGAAGGTTCCATAAATTATGAAAAGTTCCATTGGCAAAATATAGTAAATTACCTCAATTATTGTTATCCTTAATTGACGTCGCGGATAAGGATTAGACGTAACTGAAATAGCTTATCGGATGAATGTATCTTTTAATGCCTCGTTATCTAGTTATCTATTTAATGTATTATGTTCACATAATATGTCATAAAAAACAAAATACCAGCATCTAAATGGACGAGTTTGAGGTTTTATGACAAGAGTACCTTTTTTTTAATTTTTTTAAGGGGGGAAAATCATCCAATGACTGCTCCCGCCTGGCTGAGGTGGGAGGGATTGTCAGACTCTTACTGACTAAAAACCATCTCGTTCCTATTGCTGCACTTCGAGCCGGAGCCCCGGTAACCCGTTAAGTTCTTCGCGGCTCTGTATCGGCATTAGCCCTATGGGCCCCATCTGTGTTGGTCTGATAGCTCTATGAGACGCGCGCGAAACGCGACGCGCCGTATGCTCGTCCGCAGGCCCGTGCTTGCTGTGGCCGGAGATCGTCCCGCGATCTCCGACGCCCGGACTGTCCTTCGCGACGGCTGGGTTGTGAGGAGGCAGCGCTTCGCTGCCTCATGCGCCCCGCCACCTCCTTAGCTAGCATGACCGCTTTGCAAAAGGAGGAGAAGGCATTCACTCGCTCCTCATAACAAGAGTAGGTACCTTAGCGTGACACCGTGGCAAATTAACACCTTACATTTAAGATGACACTTATTGAGGGTTAATGAACTAAAAACGTAAACAAAAGTCGTAACCTAATGTTCAGGTTCAAAATCTACTGATATTTTAAGTCGCGCTTAACTATAGTTCTGTCACAACAAATTCTTTGTAAAATGGCAGAGATGGCGCTATATTTAAATACAACTTAAAACTGAGTAGCCTTTCAGTATTCGGGCATACGTCACTTGCTCATGTTAAAACGATGATTAAAATTAATATAATATATATATACATAACATCACACAATACACAACTTTTATCCCCGAAGAGGGAGGCAGAGGTGCACATTTCGGCACTTAATGCCACTGTACAATGTAACACCCACTTTTCACTATTTATGTTATAAGTCCCATGTAATTTTAGGGGGTGAGCCTACTGCCGTATACCGCGGGCACTTCAGACACCGTGCTACTACTGAGATTCTTTTTTTAAAACCCAGTAATACTCTAAGTATTATATGTTATTGTAGTCCTATTTTTATCGTTAAAGGAGTCCAAAGCATATGCCGATATGCAGTATTACTGTTCAAGGAAGCCGTCGATGACGTCACAGCGATTATTTATTTACGAACATATTATCGTACTGTCATAAGCAGATAATTGTCATCGTAATAATACAGAAGATTAATTAACTTACCTACGTTATCCTTATACTTACATATAATAATTAACACCGGCTGTTTGTTTAGCTCAAAATTTGTCGTAACTACCTCGTTTGACATAAGATGCTTAATAAAATCATGGAAGATCTACAAGTTTGTGAGAATGGAACCTCACTATCATGAACTGAGCACTCACATGAACTTTGGTGATCACCTGAGACTTAATTCCTTCCCTCCCCAATTCCTAAATCCTCAATCCTCAAATCCTCCAACAGGCCGCAATGCACGTGTAATTCTTATGATGTTGCTAGTGTTCATGGACGACCGCGATTGTTTACCATCAGGTCATCCAGGTGTTCATTTACCGGAGCATCCCGAAAAAAAATTGTCTAAAAGAATTACCTTGTAGGATATCTTTTAAAGATCCTTTTGTTTCGCTAAAGGCGTATTATTCTTTATTTAATACAAGCTGACCCAGCAAACTTTGTACCGCCTAAAACCTATTTATCTTACCTTTTAAACCTTCTCTGGACTTCCACGAACATTTCAAGACCAAAGTTTGCCAAATCGGCTCAGCAGTTCTTGAGTTTTAGCGAGACTAACGAACAGAAATTCATTTTTATTTATATAGATAGATAGATTTATAGATTGTATATAAGCACTTAAGTACAATAAGTAATTATCAATCAGAATTCTGAATTTGGGTAACCATTACAAGTCACTGTACTCATATGAGTAGGTCTGGTCTATCTTATATTAGTCAAAATTATAGGTGAAAAAGCATGATCAAGGAAAACATAGCTAAAATATAGTCTTTTCATATTTCGATAAGAACAAAAGAGTTCGACCTAAATTATAATACAAGCTTTTAATCGCAGTGTCGAGTGTTCATAGCATAATCAATAAATTGGATTAAAACAACATCCGCTGGAGATATCATTGATAAAATTAATTAATAGATTATTAGACAAACAATATTTGGTAAAATAAAGTTTAAGAAGTTAGAAATCTAGTCGTTTTAGCCATCAATGCATTGAATGCATACTATTAATAACTAAGGGACCCAGCCGCGGCTTTCAACATGTGATATGCGTAATAAGGTTACCACTTAATTAATTTAATAATTAGGTATGTCTCGGTACAGTATTAACGGAACAATCAATTAAGTTTGTCATTTGGACAATCAGTAGGTACCTAATTTCGTTAAGTCATGTTTATTCGCGCCTAGCTTCACTGACATGTAGACGAACCATTCAATTTTTGACGTTTGAAAAGTGCCTAATGAAATAAATGCTATGACTTCGCTTTTAATGCTCACAGGAGCCGGTTTTCTTTTAGAACTCTCTGTTTTTATTAGTTTTTCCATGAAATTCCTTCTTTAAACACTTCTTCCGTACAAGACAGCTGTGGAATTCGGCCAAGTGTCACCTTATTAAGTCTAAGCCATGACACTTTCTTATAATATAACAGATTATACTTACAATGTACCTAACTTAAAGCTGAATTTTGTCGATAAGGGGTCCGTAAAAGTATCGCTGAGACTCTCAAGTCTTTTGAAGAGGGTCCTCAAACATAATACGGAGTTTCCGTAAAACGATTGGAATTGTGGCATTTTTTCTGTAAGCAAAAAATTGGACGTCGCGCCGGCGTCGCTTATTCTTCGTGTCTTTATCTTTGTCGCATTCAAATATAATATGTATAATAACTACTTATAAGGAAAACTGTAGCGTTTTACGTAAAAGAAAGTGGGGTTTTCCTAATGTAGTTTTATTAGTAATTGGATATACCTAAGTGTCATCATTATAATTAACATCATTCATGAGTGTATCAGGCACAAAACAAATAGAGGTGACCATATAACCAGCTCCAAAGCTCGTATTTCAGATCGTACAGTTGAAAACGAACTATACACGTATCTAGATAAGTTGTCGGAGCCGCGAAGGGCTTAACAGGTTGCCGGGGCTACGGCTCGAAAAGCAGAAGTAGGAACGGGGTTGTTTTTAATCAGTTAAGAGTCTAAGTCTCGCCTCACCCAGGCCAGGAGAAGTCATTCCCCTCAAAAAAGCATAGATAAGTTAAGTATAATTAAGTACATTGTTTCAAAATTTCTTCGATTGAAAGTATGGAATTCTTGCCTATAAGACTTTCAACAGCGGTCTTATGTCTAGTGTGTTTAGTAGTCGCGGAGAACCTAACGGGTTACCGGGGCTCCGGCTCGAGGTGCAGGAGAAGGAAAGGGGTGGTTTTTAGTCAGTAAGAGTCTGACACTCCCTCCCGCCTCACCCAGGCGGGAGCCGTCATTCGATGATTTCCCCCTTTAAAAAAAGTGTGTCTATTAAGACCTATACATTAGGCTTTTCTATTAACAAATAAGCATGATAATCTGGGTAAATCCTCATATATATCAGTTACGAAAATACGACGAAGGATTACGAAGATTAAAATTATTACGTTATCATTTAATCGTAGAATTTATCAATTAATTCCTGGCCCTGAATTAATATAAGCTAAGCAATAAACTAATTTTGTTTAGTTGTTTCAATTAAAGATGGCGGTGTGGGGTGCTCTGTTTTTGTTGGCTGTAGCTGGGACCACGGTAAATAATTATTGAACTGTTTTTTTTTTATATAAATTGCGTGGACTGTGCATCTAATAAATTATATTCAAGTATTGTGATATTGATAACAGTGTCATTGTTAAAGAAGATTCTATGTAAAATTGGGTTGTCTTCGAAAAACTATCGTTTCGATAAAACTTGATGACGTCAATACGTAGGTATAAGTAGTCAGTAAGCACGCAGGAATGAAGAGTTGGATTCGGTACCTGTACGTGCTTTATAACAAACCCTTCTAAATTTATTTAATTAAAAACACATATGGCCGATTGTTCAATCATCAATTAATAGGGTAGATGCCTAATTTTTATTTTAATATCCGTCTTTGTAGTAGATTATTTTAAATCATTAGACACGTATTTTTTATTTTCTTACTGAAATGAATACTTTCGACGATATTGTGATTTGAAATGTCGCTTGACGTCACTTCTATGTACATACATTTTAGGTATATGTAGTAATGACGTTTTAGCCCCCACTCCTAAACTTTGATTCGTTTGATCTAAGTGTTATTTTATTATATGCCAAAATAAAAAAATACGTGTCTAATATTTTTTAATTATCTAACTCACGGACTAATTACATTTTTAATTTTCATACCCTGTCATCATCCCAATTCTTTTTTTTTTTTTCTTCTTTGGCAACCGAGTCTCCAATACGATGTTGTCGACTATACTGCCAGTGTCGGGTGGTGACGGCAGATTAAACTGTAGAATAAAATTGACACATGACAGTTTTAAGTATGAAATATTTGTCCACATATTCAAAGTAACTCCTGAGTTAAATTTATCTGGCGTTTGAAAAATCGACCCTTACATAACAAAACATGACGTCTTTTATCCTCGAAGGGGTTGGCAGAGGTGTACGAACATTATGCCACTGTACAATGTAACACCCACTTTTCATTATTTATGTTATGAGTCCCATGTAATAGGGTGTGAGCCTATTGCCATATACCCATACATCGGCCCTTACTTACGTAAAATTATAACCAAATCTTATATTTATTTTGTAACCAACCAACCAGCTAAGTACTATAAAGTAGGTATATTTAAGTAGGTTCTATATTTGTAATCAATCTTTATCTTGTCCCACTGTATACCAAATAACTTTACTGATTGTATGTTGAAGGAGATATTTATTTTATTTAAGTTCTGTTCAAATATTGCAAGAACAAAGATTTTAAATGGATATACGCCCGTATTCTGAAAG